AATTTGAAAATAAAAAATACTACCCTATTAAATTATATGTGTATCAAAACAAACTAAAAAAATATTTATAGAAAAACAATACTTTTATGCTAGTGAGAACCAAAGCAATATGGAAATGAATGAGGGAAAACTGGATCCTACCACGTGATTTCCCAGCCAGTAAAAATGTAGCGTTAAACGTTTAACGCAACCTTGTTGGAAGTCGCATAAGAAGTATCACTTCAATAATCTCCGGTTGTAAAAAGTTAATTCAACAATTAAAATAATATAAATATGGGACAGAATTTTGTTAAACATACTGACTTTAAAGTGGTTTATTTAAAAATATTTGAGGAGTACATTCTATGTATACTTAACAACTTTGAAACATTTGAGTTGTTAAAGAACTCTCCTTCCACATTAATCTTTCCACCACAAATTGATGCTTTCTGCAAGTTCGAAATTTTGACATTTTAATGGAAATTCTGTTTTCTACCCAAGTCAAAATTCCTGATTGTCCCATCAAAAACTTTCAATGGTTTAAATTGGTTTCAGCGCGATTCATGATGGCCCAACATCATTTGATGATCACCATCATCCAACTTTTTCCATTCTGTGCTCAGTCTGTCCATTCTGTGCGGGTGTTTGATACGCCAACAAACTTCCATCATTCCATGATGTAAAATGCTACTTTAACACGTTGAGCGCCGCGTCAGCCATCGGAGGCTGACACTGAAATTACATTTAGGCTGCGTCTGCCACAGCTTGCTGACATTGACCTTTCACGTAGGCTGCGAAAAACAGCTGACTGACAGCGTATAACATGATATAGAACTATAAAATTTACACTCTTTTATGGAATTGCAGAAAATTTATTCAAAATTTACTTAATTATTGTGATTTAATAAATTCAATTTAGTAGATTTTTATCCACCACTAGTTCTACATAATTCGTAGGCTTATATAATTCACCACTTTTGTTAGATATGTCATGATAAACCTTATAAAAAATAGCAAAATCCGTCTAATATTTGCAAATTTAGTTTGTAGTTATTTATCGTGGCCAGATGGGCAAGCCATGTAAAATTAGCGTGGCGTTTAACGTGTTAATACTATGATGATTAATCATCATGACAATTTGATTCTCCTGATCCACCAATTTATGATGGTTCCATGCAACAATTATGATGGTTCCATTTCCATGAACTTCCATGGTTCCATTTCCAATGGGAATTTTTGTTGGTTCAGCAGGAATATACCACGAAAAAGCATTTGCTTTTTATGTTTGCCCATCATAAATCAGACAGCATTCCAACATTGAGGTGATGGTGGTTTATGACTGTTTCAAGATTTGATTTCTAGGAAAGTATGATGGAAATTTCGATTGGTTCAACATGAACAAATCATTAAAACACGTTGCTATTCTTATGTTGGATCATCCTAATTAAGTCCGAATTCCTACTTGGGG